GGAGACAAACTTGTCTGTCGGTTTGTCCTACTGTGGTGACGTGCTGCTGTGAGTCTTGAGGCTGTGCCACTGGTGTTTCAAACCCAGTGGGGTGCACATGGTGCACAGGTATCAGCCCAGCTTGCAGACTGAGACAGACTAGGAAGAAGGAGGAGGCCATCCCCTTCTCAAAGAACTGGCCAGGGAAAACAATAAATAGTAAAAACTTAAAAAAAAAAAAAAAAGGCCATGTTCCCAGAAACTCTTGGATTTTGGAAATGCAGATGTGGGAATAAGGATCTGGAAGAGACCTTCCCCAGAGCTGTGCTGGTGGTTGAAAGGGATATCAAGAACATGCTTAGTCAGGGCTCAGTGCACTGGGTGAGGAGCGGAGAGAGAGGAGGGAGAGGGCAGTAAAAGTAGGGGCAGTGTTGCTGCTGTTCCTGCTGTGAGCGGATTCCTACTCACGGTGATCCCATGTGCTCCAGAGTAGGACTGTGCTCTGCAGGGTTTTCTTGGCTGTAATCACAACTGCAGCAGATCACCAGGCATTTCTTCCACAGCACATTTTGCAAGGGTGGGTTCCAACTGCCAACTTTGCAACTCATTCGTGCTCCCCAAATGGGGGGACGAGGGAGGAGGAGGGAAGAAGAGAGAGGAGGGAAGGGAGGGTAGGAGAGAGAAGAGGAAGAAAGGTAGAGGGGAGGGGTGAGAGGACAAGGGAAGGAAGAGGAAGGAGAGGAGGGGGAGAGGGAGGAGGGGTGGGGTGAAAGGGAGAGGGGAGGAGGGGAGAGCAGAAGGGGGAGGTGAAGAGAAGGAGAAATGGGAGAAGGTAAGGAGAAGGAGGGTGGGAGAAGAAGGGTGGGGTGGTAGAGGGGGAGGGGAGGGAAAACAGTAGGGGAGGTGGGGGAGAGGGGGAAGACACAAGAAGCAGCAAGGGGAGAGGGAGGTGGGGGATTGGAGAGTGAACAAGGGCAGGGTGAGGAAGGAGAGGACAGAAAAGAGGAAGGGCAGCAATCGGGTGACATCTGTGAATGAATGAATCCTAACTCTGCTCTAGTGTGAACCTGAGTGAGGACAGCCCATCCTGGTTTCTTTATTTGTAAAATGGGGTCATTGTAATAGGGGTAACTGGCAGGATGAGAGTGCAGCTGCTCTTAGGGGTCACTGCTGACTCTGCTGACCCCTAGTCCAGAAAGCTGTGGGCCAGGGGCTGGCTCTGGGCCTGGCCTCCAGCCCCTATTCTACCCTCCCTGGGCTGCCTGCAGGACCAATGGCAGCATGAGGACTGCGAGCCTGTAGGGCCTTGTCCTCCAAATAGTGCTGGAAGCTGGCCCTGGCCGCCTCCCAAGGAGAGCTCTGGGAAGGTCAGCCAAGCTGGGGAGAAAACAAGTACGGGGTGTGTGTGTGGGGGCAACGGGCAGAGGAGGGGAGCTGGAAGGAGGGAGACGGAGTTGTGTGTTGGCACTGTCTGAAGCACGGTCCAGGAGTCTGTGGACAGAGAGCCCTGAGGCAGCCAGCCTGAGGCCTTGCTGCATGGCTGGGTTTGGGGTCCCGGCCTTGGCTGCTGGAACCTAAGCGGACCAAGCCGACCTTGCCTGCCACCTGTCCAAGCCTCTGGGAGCCAGCAAGGGTTGTGTGCAATTCCAGGTCAGTCAGGAAAAAGGGTTGTGGGCAGCTGGCCCCCAGAGTCTGAATGAGGGCTTTTGGGGCCTCTGGCTGAGAGTTTAGGAGCTTTGATGGCATAGTGGTTAAAGCATTTGGCTGCTAACAAAAGTCAATGGTTAGAACCCATCAGCTGCTCTGTGGGAGAAAGATGAGGTAGTCTGCTTCCATAAAGATTTATAGCCTTGGAAATCCTATGGGACAGTTCTACTCTGTCCTAAAGGGTCACTATGAGTCAGAAACGGCTCCATGGCAGTGGATTTGTTTTTGTTGTTGTTGTTTGTTTGTTTTCGTTTTGATAAGAGTTTAGAGCTGCAGAGCACAAATACAGTATTCACTGGCCTCTGTGGGTGCATTTAATTAAGGGTGGAGACCTAGTGTGTGGATTCCGGGCTCCTGGGGCACAACATTGACATTTAAATGACAAGGTTTTGGGGTATGGATTTAAGATTAGCAACATGCAAGCCACCACAGTACAACAAACTGACAGGAGAGTGGTGGCTGAAATGTGGTAAGCAGCAAATGGCATAGTGCCTAAGGCATTTGACTGCTAACCGGAAGGCTGGAGGTTCAAACCCACCAGCCACTCCACGGAAGGAAGGTTGGGCAATCTACTTCTGTAGTGATACTGTCTCAGAAACAAGGAGGGGTTGCTATGAGTTGGATCCGACTCCACCACAGTGTGCTGCGTTTTGCGTTCTTATAGGATATATCTAAGAGAGTTTTGGGACTTGCAGTGGCGTCACTGGAAGGGTGGAAAGGAGTGCGGACCACATTGAGTGACACTGTCAGAGGACGTGACACCAAAATGACAAATTTTAGTGCAGTGTTTCAGTAGAAATTTATTATTTTTAATAAAAATATCCCTGTAGTTATAACAACAAAAAAATTTTTTGTAAGCCCAGCTTTGTTGTTGTTGGTGGTGTTATGTGCCGTGGACGTAGCCATATACCTACAAAGCTAAAACTCGATGCAAATTTACTTTTGGAGCCTTGTTATGTGCTCAGGTCAGAGCTGTCATTATTAACCCAATTACAATGAACCCTGCACACTCTACACACACCCCCTGTTGTTTTCTTGCTCCTGGTATTTTTATAGTTCTTGATTTTGTCAAAGTTTCTGTTGTTTTAGCTACAGTATTGTGGTAAGTAATATTTGTAAACCTATATCAATAACTTTTTCAGAATGAAGTAGTAATTAAAGGAAAAAGAAAAATTTAAAAAGGGCTTCTGCTCAGTTAGGAGCTCTGGTGGCACAGTGCCTAAGGCATCTGACTGCTAACCAGAAGGCTGGAGGTTCAAAACTCCACGGAAGGAAGGGCAATCTACTTCCCTAAAGATTTACCCCGCCTTGGGTCACTATGAGTCGGAATTGACTCTATGGCAGTGGTTTTGTTGTTGTTCTGCTCAGTTACTAATAATGTAAATAGTAATGTAATTCAGTGTAGAAAAAGTTTAAAAAAAAATTTGTTAGCATCCATATAATCTAAGAAACATTACATTTAAGCAATTTACAACTATATCATATATGATTCTATGATTAAAATTGATAATAAACATTACTAAGGATTCTGCATGTTCTGGAGGAAGTCCTTGAGGGGTACCTCCATGTACCTCACTGGGTGACACCAACCTAGTGATGCCACTGTTCTGGGGTCTCAAAGTGTGATGAGTATAAGGCGCTCTGGTGGCACAGCGGTTAAAGTACTTGGTTGCTAACCAAAAGGTAGGCATTTCGAACCCATAAGCTACTCTGCAGAAGATGAGGCAGTCACCTTCCGTAAAGATTTACAGCCTTGGAAACCCTACGGGGCAGTTCTACTCTGTTCTATAAGGTCGCTATGAGCCCGAATGCATCGGATGGCAGTACAGTTTAAGGTGTGAATGTTGACTCCCTTGCCCCTGAATGTGTGTTTAAGAGGGAAATGTGTTTGAGGTTTGGATTTGGGACAAGCTAGAGCAAGAATTCAGCACAGGCGGGTCCTAGGCCTGGTCTGGGGTTTTCTGGTCCCCCGGAGGGACGAGTTCCAATTGTCATCTGGAGCGCAGGCTTCCGGCGCCTGCAAGCCACACCCACTGGCTTCCAGACACAAGTGTCCGCGACACCCGGGGGCGCGAGAGTTTTAGTTGCTCTGAATACAGGCCGTCCCCAACCCCCACCGGCTGGCCGTTCTAGCCCCCGGGTCTCGTTAGCCTAGTCTCTCTGGCTCGGGGGCGTCTCTATGGTCGCAGCCTCCAGAAAAGTGTGGGCGGCCCGGGTGATGCTGCTGAGCGTACTGTGACCCAAACAGGTCGGAGGAGGGCCTTGGGCCAGGCCTGGGCGGGCGGGTGGGGCGGGGCCTAGGCATTAGGTGGGCCGGAGCAAGACCCTGAGGGTGGTGACAGAACTGAAGCCAGAGGGCGGGGCGGTGGCTAGGGTGGAACCTGGGCCTGGGAATGCCTCTAGGCCCGTCTTGGGGGCAAGGATTCAACTGGAGGGGAGAGGCAAGGACAGGGGTGGAGCTTTCTTTGTGGGCAGGGCCAGAGGCCTAACTGGAGGGGGTGTGCAGTGAGAGGTGAGGAGGCTCGGGCGGGAAGGGGCGGGCCAGGCTTGGAGAAGGAAGGACTGGACTTACCTGGGGGCGGAGCCAAGTCGTGGTGGGTGCTGCTTGGGCCCCCGGACAGCATCTAGATCAAGGAATGGGGCAGGACCTCGCATAATGAGCAACGGCGGAAGGGCTCGGTCTGGGGGATGGGGCTTGTTCCAATAGTTGGCAGGGAAGCATGAAGCTCACGAGGAAGCCTGTTGCCCAAAGTGGGCAGGGATTCGGGCTCGGGGGCGGGGCCTCGCTTGGGGACTGGCCAATCCCAGGCTTTGGGCGGGGCTGGGTCGGAAGGAGAGGTCTGGCCTTGGTCTGGTCTGGGGGTGGAGCTAGGGCCTGGGGGCGGAGTCTGACTCAAATCGTATAGAGTGGGGAGGGCTAGGATCACCGTGGAGTTGGAGCCTGGGGGTGGAGCCTAGTCAGAAGAAGTAACCAATCTCAGGCCCGGGGGCGGGCCCCTGTTGGGGAGGGACGGGGGCGGAGTCTTTCGGGGGCGGGGCCTGGGAGCCTGGGGGCCGCGGCCTAAACATCTCTCTGCTCCGCAGGATGCGGGTACCAGGTGTGGGAGCTGCCTCCGTGGTTTCGCTGGCGTTGCTGTGGCTGCTGGGGCTCCCGTGGACCTGGAGCGCTGCGGCGGCTCTCGGCGTGTATGTGGGTGGCGGCGGCTGGCGCTACCTGCGCATCGTCTGCAAGACCGCGAGGCGGGACCTCTTGTGAGTGCGGAGGGGGCCAGGGGTCAGGGGTGGGCCTGCGCGCTGGGGGCGGGCGGAGGGTCCGGACTGCCGGGTGACTTGGAGGGCTTTGAGTGGCTGGGGCGTGACTCTGGGGACGGGGGGTTGGGGCTCTAGGGCTCTAGGGAGTTGCTGGGGCCAATCTAGGAGGCTTTCTGGAGGGAGGTTAGTAGGTTGCATGATGCTTGGGACTGTTGGAGCTGTTTGGGAGACCTCAGTGGTTTGGGCTGCAGGCTGTAGGGGACAGCTTGGGGGTCTTCGGGCAGGTGATGAAAGCTCCCGGGGAGTTGGGGCTGCTTGGGAAGCTGTGGGTGCTTGGGGGTCTTTAAGGTCTCTTCAGGGACTCTGGTTTGTCCCGGGGCTGCCAACCCTCTATTTAGGGGTTTCTGGAAAAAGGCTGCCAAAGGATTGGAGTCTGAAGGGCTTTTAGGGTCTCTGAAGGGTGTGTGTCCAAGCCATTTATAGGTGTCTGATAGGTCCTCGGGTGGTGCAAACGGTTTCTGATTGACTACCATGGTAAATTGTAAATTGGGAGCTCTGGTAGCATAGTGGCTAAGACACCTGACTGCTAACCAGAAGGCTGGCGGTTCAAACCCACCAGCCACTCCTCAGAAGTAAGATGGGGCAATCTATTTCCGTAGTGATACTGCCTCGGAAACCCAAGGAGGGGTCGCTATGAGTCAGGTCCAACTTGACGGCACGTAACAACAACAACAACATCACCACCATCGTAAAAGTTGGCGATTTAAACCCACCCAGCAGCACTGCAAAAGGCCTGGCTATTTGCTTCCATAAAGTTTACAGCCAAGAAAATGCTTTGGAGCAATCCTGCTCTGTAACACATGGGTCACCATGAGTCTTGACTTGGTAGCAATGGATTTTTCTTTTTGCATGGCCAGGGTACTCTTGGGGGCCAGTGTGGGACTTTGAGGGTCTCTGTATTCCAGGGCAATTTTGGTGTCTCCTCAGGCTGGTTCTTTGGTGTCATGTGCCAGGATCCTTGGAGAGTCTCTGTGATGTCTCAAAGGAGCTGTTAGGGTCCTTATGGGGGGCAGGAGCCTTGAGGGAAGCAGGCATTGCTGAGGATCCTCATTGTAGCAGATCTCATAACATCCCTGTGTGTGAGCACTCTCTCAGCATCATACGGGACACCCTTTCTTCATGGGAAGTAGGGACTGGGAGGTAGGAGCACTGAGCCCATTTTAAAGATGTGGTAACTGAGTCTCAGGGAAGGGATGGAGCATTGTGGAGCTGGGAGGAGTCCTGCTGCAGGTTGACCCATCTGAACTTTGTTGTTGTTGTTATGTGCCGTTGAGTCGGCCCCGACTCGTACCTTCTAGAACCTGCATTTTCTTCACCATGCCCATGGCCCCAGCCCTTTCCCCTCTTGTTTCCTCTACCCCTCCCCAGAGTCTTTCTGACATTGGAATCCAACCTTGCCCTTTGTTCACAACCCCCCATAACCCCCCATCTGCTGTAGGAGAAAGACTCAGCCTCTCAGAGTGGTGCTTGGGGCCCTGCTGGCTGGTCTCCTGTGCACTTCTCACTGCCCACCACCATACTTCCATCTGACACCAAGTCAACATTTAGTTTCAGGTGTAGGCTGTTTCTCTGCCCAGGACACACTGGTCCTTCTTCTGCCTGGTGACACCCACTCAAGGAGCCTCCCACAGCTCCTAGTTCCCTTACAATCTAGATCACACTCCCCACATGGCCCATGAGGCTCCTGACCACAACCCCAGACTCGTCTCTCTTCTCTCCATCACTTCTTCTTCCTCTTTGCTCACTCTTCCAGCTATTCATGCCTCCTCACACTGTTCATGAAACCTAGTGTGTCTCTGTTCCTACCTCAGGGCCTTTGCACTTGCCGTTCCCTCTGTCTGGACCACTCTTCCCTCTGCTCTTCATTTTCCTTGGCTTAAATGTCCTATCACCTCCAAAGAGCCCTCCCCTAACTCTTGTGTAGACCCTCCCCCTGTCACTCTTTGGCTAAATGGCTGACATGTTCCAAGAGCTCCCTCCATGCCAGTTGCCCTGCTAAGTGTTTTACACATGTGACCTAATTGAGCCAACCCAACAGACCCAGAGGGTGGTGTGTTCTAGGAGCACCAGAACGTGTCTAGATTCCTTAGGGATAAAAACCAGGATCAGCATAAAGCTGATTCTCATGAGGTGAAGGTCAGACGTACCTCTACCATCTACCTTCCTTTAACGTTTCTGACAGCAGCAACTCTCCACCGTGGCACACTCTACTTCTCTGCTGGGTTCAATACATTCCAGTGGCCACACAGAACTCACAGATAATACTTATGCTTAATGGGTTTATTAAGGAAGAAATAGGGTATAACTCAGGATCAGGAAGCATGGAGGCAAAGTCTGGGAGGTTCCCCTGAAGTGGAGAGCATGTCACTACCTTGTTCAGTGAAGGACAGCTCTCTCAGCCACTCAAGCAAGCAGGCTCTTCTTTCTGCCATGCACACACCTTCTCAGTCATGCATGCCTCCTTTAAGCAGCTCTCTTAGCTGCATTCCTGGCAGCAGTTTTCTGCTGTCACCACTAACTCTGCTGCAGTGTCCCTTCCAGAAGTGTTGCTGCTGGATCGGCTACAAGGCCTCTTCCAGGCCTCACAGTGCTTCAGCGTTACAGCCCTTGACCTGTGTTATGGCTCTTTTAGTAAGTTCCTCACTACTTCTCTCTCTGCTACTTTGCTCTTCTCACCTATCTTGTCTTTTGCCCTTTCATTTCTGAAACCTCTGTGGGGTTGGTCGTATGTATAAACTCTTTGTCAATTTCTAGGCATGTCTCTCCAAGCAAGACCACAAACGGACCAATCCACTTGGTGGATTATTATAGTCACTTCATTTGCCTAGTATGCTGACCAGTCTCTGCAAGGTGCATAATAGGGCAGGCTGCGGCCCAGTGCCAGACAAACCGTAACAGACCATCAAGTTGTTTACAGCTTGTCTTGGTTCTCTCATGCTGCTATAACAGAATTATGTTATAACAGAAACAGCACAGGTGGATGGCTTTAACAAACAAGAACTTAATTCTCTTACAGTTTAGTAGGCTAGAAATCCAAATTCAGAGTGCCAGCTCTAGGGGCTGGGTGAAGGCCCCTCGACCCTGGACTTCAACTCTGTCTTTTATTCCAGACCCACTGGAGCAAGCTAGAGGTTTCTGACTCATGCAGCTGCTGGCTGCTGAGGCCAATGAACCCAAGATCAGCAAGTAAAATGGCACAATCCCAAGATCGGCAGGCCACTGGTTCAAGTCCAGGAACTGGAGATAAAGACTCAGCCAAATGCAGGATCTGAATGTGCCAAAAAGCTGGAGACCTTTCTCAAAGCTTCTCCAGGTATACTGGAAGCAGGCCACACCCTGAAGGCAACTCCCCTTCCACTGATTATCACCTCACAGCAGATTCCACCAAGGGGGTGATTATGGTATCATCTTGGGGAATAACTACATCCAGCTGCCAAACCACTTAAAACCATGGCCCAGCCAAGTTAACACACAACCTTAACTACCACACAGCTTACCCAGGAAGTGTCAGTCAACCTGGACAAAAGTAACAACCCTCTTAGGTAGAAAATGAGGACAAAGGTTAACTCCTCAGGGCTTAAGAGAAAAGTCTCTCCTCTGGGATCCCAGAGGGTAGACTCGGCCTTCTGGGTCTCAAAAGCGTGGGGCTTTGGCCTTTGCAAAAAGGGTATGGTGGCAGGATCTTCTGACCTCCTCTGCCTTCACAAGGGTGTAGGAATATCTAGAAGAACAACAACCCGAGGCTGATTCCTACAAGAAGGAGGTCAGACATGCCTCCACCCTCCGACCTTTCTATCCTCACACCAACCATCCTTCCCTCCTCACTCATTACTTCTCTGCTGGGTTTGATAATTCATTGCAGTGGCCACACAGAACTCAGAGACAATACTCATGAATTTGTGTGTCATCCCTCCGTGGGAGTCATGCTAGTCTCTCTGCTGAGGAGGTCCCTCCGTGGGAGCCGTGCTAGTCTCTCTGCTGAGGAGGTCCCTCCGTGGGAGCCGTGCTAGTCTCTCTGCTGAGGAGGTCCAACACTGGGACCTCGGGTCCAAGGATGTGCTCCACTGCTGCTGCTGCTTTTGTCTTGCTGGCAGTGAGATCTCCCTTTTCTGCCTCTGGAGTGGCTTATTTTAAGCCTAGCAGGATGGCAAAACTGAGCAATCCCATTTTAGGGTTCTGTACATGTTATTTGTATAGTCCTGTTCTCACAAGACCACCACTTGTCTATCAGTTTGTCATACTGTGGTGGCTTGCATGTTGCCGTGAGGTAGGAGGCTATGCCACCGGTATTTCAGATCCCAGCAGGGTCACCCATGGTGGACAGGTTTCAGTGGAGCTGCCAGTCTGTCTTAGTCTCTAGACTAAGCCAACTTGATGGCACCTAACAACAACAACATTCTCACAAGAAGGACCTCTGGTAGTGCACTGCCTAAGACATTTGACTGCTAACCAGAAGATTGGCGGTTCAAACCCAGCAGCTATTCTGAGGAAGGAAGATGGGGCAATCTACTTCTGTAAAGATTTACCTCTTTGGAAACCCAATGGGGGTCGCTATGAGTCGGAATTGACTCAGTGGCAGTGGGTATGGGTATTCCCACAAGGGTGCCATGTACCTTATTTACATTATTAGCAAGATGTCCAATCCCCTGGATAGGCCACAAGTACCTCACATTTGCATAGTTCCATCTAGTCATTTTGTGGAGGTTACAAACAATGGCTAGAAGAGCCCTACGAAGTAATTTATTACACTGCAGCATCCTAAGTTTCAAAGAGTCAGATCTTCTTCACCAACTCAGTTCTAAGTTGGGGCTGCCATTCACGAGTGTCTGTTTGTGGGGGCCTGAGGAATAGGATTAGAGCCACTACCCAAAGATGAGAAGGCAGGGCTGCCATGCCAGGGCCCGGTGGGTGGGGCTTCCACTCACCTGGACTAGGAGAGT